CCTTTGGAGGCCACAGAGCCCCGGAGCGGTGCAGTCGGCGAGCAGGTCGCCGGCCGGAATACGAAGAGGACCCTCAGAGCCGAATTCAGCCCCGGGCACTGCTGCTGCCGAGGCGGCCGTGCCGGCGAACCTGGCTGCGGCGGGTGAGCGAGCGCGGGCTCCGACCAGCCAAGCCCTTGTCGTCCTCCTTCCGCACCGCCTTCGCCTGTCTTTGGCTCGGCGTGAGCTGCTGTCGGGGGGCGAGGGACAGGACTTGGGGCCAGAAGACCTGAGGTCTCCCGCCTGTGTTCTGCCGTCAGGCGTGGGGTGAGGGTACACCCGCTGCTTCATCTTGCCTCACACTCGAGATTTCCCTTCCTTAGAAAAAAGGGGAAAAAAAGGAGGTGAGGTGACCTGTTAATGTGTTCAAGGTCTCTCAACATGAGTAGAAAGTATATTCTGTCATTTTAGTAACATACTAAACTTCTAAATACATGATTGGGAAAAGAAAATGAACAGCCAGGGCGTTTTTAAATTAAGCATGATGAAATTCCATGTGAGTATATGAAGCCTTAAAGGATTTATGTTAGAAATTTACTTATTCCACCAGGTAGATTCCCATAATATTTTTATTTTAATGCTGATTACAGTGCAAATGAAGGCTTTATAGCTTGTTTTTTTCTGTCCCTACTGCACCCTCTGTTTTATCAAGTCCGTTTTAAGATGACTGCTTCTGACTTTTGCTGCATTTATCCACCTTTCACCTGTGCATCTTCTGAGCTTGACAGGCTCCTCTGTGTATGGCTCCTACCTGCAGTACACACAGAAATACTGAAGTGTGTAGGAGGAATTTCAGTCACAGGTGCCCCTTATGTAATGGCTGTATAGAGAGGTGAAGTTGGTGGTATTTATTCTGCAAAACAAATGTGTTTCTATCCCAATAGCTCCTGCTTTTCTTTCCCTGCCTGAAGTTTCACAATACATTTTAACTATGCAATGCCATGGGAAAACACAGTGAATACATGTTTATGGTAATATCAACAAATCCATAGAATTTTGAAGGAAAGAAGGTTCTGTTAAATAACAAGGAGAAGAGACAGGAGGAGCAAGAGAGGAAATTCGTCCCTAACACCAAGATACCCGCATTCTCCCTGTGATCCAGACACAAAAGATGTGAGACAACCCAAAGAATCGTTTACATGAGGAGAGGCTGTACTGCATCCTTGCTTGCATAGAGTTTGCTGCACAGTTAAACCCTTTGATGATCGTTCTGCTCGTGCGAAATGGTAAGTCAGGCCACTTTTTCGATATATCTTAATGTGCTTTTTTACCTCATAATTTTTCCTGCTTTATGGTTATATATATTTTTTTTCTCTCTCTCTTTCTCTTGGATTTCTCTGGATCTGAAACGATGGAAGAGAAAGGTGTGAGCCCAGGTGGCCATACAAGAAGCGAAGAACCAATGAAAAAGGTTAAGGGACACTTGACAAAAATAAACAGGACACGTGTATGAACACTTATTTACATATACTGAAAAGTGTTAGTTGAGCTGATTTTTTTTGTATGTTGTATCTAAAGTAGCAACTGCATTAATTACACTATTACTAGAACAGATTTTGTAGGAAAGGGTATCTTCTATCACCTTCTTAAATGAGACTGACCCACAGAAGAAGGGTGATCTGTGAAGAGCACATTATGTTCGCCATTAAAAAACCTGGAAATATAAATAAAAGTCTTGCTGCCTGATCTATTATTATGGTCTTGCACATCAGGTCTGTATTTTTCATTTTTTGTGTTCCACAAGACCGGTAATTTTAATACTCAGTACTAATGGGGGTAAAGGAAGCTACAAGTAATGACTGGAGGGGTAGCTCTGCAAATGAGAGACCGAATAACTGATCAGCTCCATGGGCACCAAGATGAATGTGTTTGTAGATGGGACTAGGTTTGGTCACAAATCAGTGATGGCTCGGTAATGAAAACCTCTTCCAGGAATCCTTTAAGAGACCTTGCTGTATTTTTATCACTTTCCTGTTCTAGTGCAGACGTCTGTTCTCTTTCTCTGGGCAATTCTGTAGCCTCTTCACCTTCCATGCAGTCATTTCACCCTTGCTTCTGGCATTCATTGTGTGGTGTGGAGGTTTCGATTTCAGCTGCAGTTTATAATTATAGAGCCCGTAGCAAGGGCCAATGCTCCACGGGCAGCTCCTGGGAGCCCCGCGTGTGCATGGGCAAATCCAAGTGCAGACCGTGACTGCCCAAGTGTAGGGGGTTTTCCTCCCTGTCACAGTAAAACAGTGGAGATAAAACGTGGGGCTGTGAGGGCAGACAAGGTGGGTATAAAGGGGAGTTACTGTGATTTACGGGGTTACGGTAGTGGCGACTTCCCCTGTTCTCAGAGGAACAGAGAGGGCCTGAGAGCCAAGAAATCAAAGGAGATAGACAGCATTTTGGGAGCAACATTAATTTTAGGACTTTTTACCATGTAAATGTTACCTTCTCATCTCTTGTTGCTTTCAGTTCCTTCTGATGTAGCCTGGCAGAGCCTGGGGTTTTTTGAATGTCTTTTTCTCAAATGAGAGGCTGATAGCTGATACCAGTGAAGATAAATGGCAAAGCTGCTGCCCCGTGTGGCTTGTGCTTGCCTTGGCAGTGCCGGGCGTCCCCGCAGTGCAGCCCCCCGGGAGCAGCAAAGGTGGAGCTCCACAAAGGAGAAGGACGCTTTGATCCTCCGAGTCATTTCATGTATTATGCTCGGGGTAAAGCTTCAGGAGGCTCCATTCTTGTTAAATTAATTTGATTCTTTATTAATGTAACTATTTTCAGAGCTTTCCTGTCACTCTCAAAGCATCTCCAAAGTCTTTCATCTTAGTACATCTGTTCCTCCATCTTGCTTCCACCGGATTGCTCACAGGGGCCTCTGCAGCCAGTTTAGCCCCAAAGAGATGACTCAGAGCTATTCTAGAGTGTCGTCTAGATGCAAAAGCAATTAAAGACCAAACTTCTAACCAAGAATCACTAGCCAATGCCTAGCAGTCATGGCTCCTGAGTCTTGTAGTGTATCTTCTGTGCTAGGAGAGGGTCAGTGTTCTTGTGAAAGCTGCCATCATCTGGCCTAGGAGCCCTTTGTCTAAGGAAGGGCCAGCTGGCAGTTTAAAACATTAAAACACACAACAGCATGCCCAGAGCTCGGGTGCGGCCGCAGCGGCAGCCAGGGCAGCGACTGAACGTGTGTTGAGTGACCTCTGCCTTGCGCCATCCTCCCGTGCCCGGCGGCTCTCGCCGTGTGTGGTGGCGGAGGAAGGGCGCCGGGAGTCACGGCAGCTCTGGCCCCGGGTCGCCGGGGATTGCCTCCCACCACGGGGAGAAGGCGGCAGCAGATCTGGTGAGTGCTCTGGCCGCGCTGCCGGCCCGAGCGAGCAGCAGGTCGAGCAGTGCCCATACCGTGATTCAGGCTGCCCTGACTGCCCCTCTTCTCTCCTCCCGGGGCCCCTCTCCGGGGCTCCCTGCCCTCGCCGTCGGTCGGGCTCGTGCTTGCGGCGCCTTCCTGAAGCGCTGCCTCCCCCAGCGCCGAGGCCGAGCTCGCTGGGGGTGACGAGGCTGCCTTTTGCTCTGCCTCTCCCCCGCCTGATGCTTACCACAGCGCTCCCCGGGCGAAAGCCGCAGCCCCGGGTGAGCGACGGCGGCGGGGACTCGAGGGCGTGCCGATGTGGCCGTGTTGATGCCTGCCCGGGGTGCCTCGTGCTGGGCTGGCTGCTTCGCTGTGGCGTAGACATGGGCACAGATGCTGCTAGAAAGATCCCCCGCTGTTTAATTTCATATTTTGCTTTCTTGTAACACAAAACGTAGGATCCCTCTGAGCAACTGTGTACATTTTGTTCTGTAAATGGTTTAGAAGTATATTAAAACATTAATCTTAGCGCGAGCCCCTGCGTGCCAGGTTTCTGACTGGAACACAGTTTAATGGGTGACTCACAGTAGATATATTGTACAACTGTGTGACATTCTGATAGTCAGTGATTTATGGCTCCAAAACTTAGCGCTGTCTTGCTTTGGAAAGTCCTTTTATTGCTTATTTGTGTAACATATGGATACTTGGAATTGAAGAACATTTTCACAGAGTGATGTTCAAATAGCCAGAAAAAAACCCAAGCAAACACATAAGGCAGATTAGTAATCGGACTTCAGGCTGCTCCTTTAAAATGCTGAGTTAAGAGTGTCTGAGAATATACTGTGTTGCCTTCAAACTGAATTTGGATAAATCCTGTCTGGCCTCCGCAGCAAGCGGCACAGACTCTCCTCGAGGAGGGTCCTTCGCTGCCGTCCGCAGGGGAGGTTCACAGCGGTGGAGAGGAACCAGACTGATAAGGTCAAATACGTTCGTTTCGCTTTAAGCAGAGAAGCGCACAGCTGTAGCGATGGCCCGCGTAGCTGGCGTGGTTTGAAATCGGTAACCTCGGTTGGCCTGTTCCTCACAATTTGTGTGAGATGTCGCTCGGGGGCATCTCAATGGATAGTGAGCGTTTGAGAAGAGAGGTTTGGCTGTGCACACCGAGGGGCTGTCCTGCCCTCACCTTCCGTGGGGCAGTTGGCAAGGGCGGGTCTAAGACACCCACCTCCTGACTTGCCAGCCTGAGCCCCTTCACCCAGGAGAGCGTTGTGGGGACGAGGACACAGGAACCTGTACGACTTGCATGTGCCAAACCGAGTCAGTCCTTTCACTCTGACTGAAGTACTGGGATGACCTGGTCAAAAACAGTTGGCAGTCTACTTCCCATTAGATGTTCTTGAAGACGATATTCTGGGGTTTATGTAGTCTGAGTGCTTTGGTTTGATTTGCCCTGGTGGGTAGGGATGGTAGTTAATTTTGCAGCTTTCTGTCCATTAGCTATTAACCGATAACCACGGAGAGCCTCAACAGGGAAAGGACAAGTAGATGTGATGAGAGGCTGCCGGCCTGGCCAAGGAGAGCGGCATGCCGAGTACAGGACTGCGCCATTGCAGGGTCCTGTGTCGGCAGATGGACCTTTGGGGCTGCTTTGACAGGGCTGGAACATTAATGGTGTTTATAATACGCCAGTATATCTTGCAAAACATCATAGACACCAGTTCTAGCTCCTTCTTGTAAAAGGAGAATAAATGGTTGTATTTCTTCTCTGTGAAATGGTGCCAGCATCCTTTTGAAGTGGTTTCGTTGCGTATCGCAGCTGAGCGTTTCCAAGAGTTACATGACTCTTAGCAAGATTTGCAAGAGAGGAGGCTGTGACCGACTGTGTTCCTATTGACCCCTTTTGCCCCCAAGCAGTTAGCCAGGATTTAGGGCCGTTGCAGGTTGCTTTCATGAGGAAGGAAGATCAACAGTAAAGGAGGTTTTTTGTCGGGTGCTCTCCTGCAGATCTGTAAAGAACTTTCCTCAGCTTTTGTGTTCACCAGCACAGTGAGGACAAAGCAGGAGGCAGCCTCCTGCTCACAGATCGAGTTTCTCACCAGGCTGCGTTCTGCCAAGAAAGTGTTCGTCCTTGGCCATCCTCCCAGAGCCACGAAGGAGCCGCTCGCTTCGGCCGTCACCTGGCTCTGGGACTTCCCTTGCTGCGTAGCCACCCACCTGCGCAGCGCAGTGCTGTCTGTCTCCGGGCTCTCGAAAAGAGACGCGTTGGTTTATGCCTTTGTGTCGGGGACACGCCAGCCTGAGCAGCAGTCTCTGGGCTGCACTGGAAAGGACCGGCGATTTCCTCGCAGCCTGCCTCGCTCGTGCATTCAAACCCACCAGCTTCAGTCGCCCGTAGGCTGGGAGCTCGTGACATTTTAGTCCCCTTCATAGTGTGAAGGTCCTGCGATAATCCTTTGAGTCCTGGCTTTGACTGTGCTGCATCTTGTACACGATACAGCAAGGACAGAGCCTCCGCCTCAAAGAGCTCGCGTACAGGAGATGAGCAGAAGAAAAAACCCTTGGACGTGTTTTTATTGCAGAGTTCGCAGACTGTCAGTTATCAAGCATGGGAGTGGTGGAAGATTTGCTTCTGTATCATCTCGCAGTTTTACTTTGTTTCTGTGAGAATAAACACCGTAAAACTGACTCGTTCTGTGATTTTCCCAGCTCAGACTGATGTACACTGAGATGTTGGTTACGTTTGTCGTGTTTTATTTGTATCAGGCATGAACCCAGTTCTCATCAGTAACAGATTCTTCTCTTTTACCTGCTCTGACCTAAGAAAAACTCTCTTTTTATTGTAGGAAAACATTTCCACTCCATCACTTAGCCACAGATGAAACGTGCTGTGTTTGTTAGCTCATCCAAAGCAAAGACTGATTTTTTGCTCAATATGAATTTTACATCATGCATCTCGATGCATTGCTGTGCTTAAACTCTTTGTGCTAACTTTTTCAGATTCATTCTCAAATTAATGCAATGTGGATCTAAGTACTAATCAGACTTGTCCTGCCTGCTTTGCCAATGGTTTTCTCAGTTCTTTAACTTACTGCATAGGAAGTGACTAAATCCCTTAAAGAGTCATGAGCTGGCTGCATGGCCATTGCTCTAAAGGACAGGTATATGATTTCATTTTTAAAGCCACACGTGATAGTTCCCATGGAAGGTACAGAAAGAAAGAAATGCTGAGGAAATAGGTAAATGGAGTTTAGGTATGTAGTTCTTGGGCGATGTGCTTTCTGTGTGTGCATTTGTGTGAGCTACAGCCAAAAGTTCCAGCGAAGCCAACGGTCCAGAGGGAGGCTGTGTTCAGGCGGGCTCTGCTCAGAGGGGCGCAGATGCTCCGTAGTCGTCTCCCTTTCAGTTCAGCGATAGGAAGTGGTGGAGGCATTAAGTTAAAATGACGGGTTTGAGAGCGTATCGTGGGTTTTGCTCAGAGCTCACGGCCGTGCTCTGCTCCCCTCCAGCTGCTGGGCTGCAGCACAAGACTGTTCCCCGCCAGCGGGGAGGCTGCGCTGAGCACCAGGAGCGAGCGAGGCAAGAAACGTACTGACCCGGGCTGTGAAGAACGGCCCGAGGATGATTTGAGAACCTTAATGAACGTGTGTCGCAACAAGAAAAGGAGCATATGCTGCTTCTACCTTTTTATTTTCTTTTTATTTTTTGTAAGCTTTTCCAACCACTATACCACCCTTTCGGGGCACGCTTTGTAAGGACTGTTCAAACACAGTGTGGAAAAAAAGATGTGTGTGTCTGCTCTGCCCTGTGTGGTGACGAGGAAAAATGAATCACCAGAAAGAAAAATCAGTACCCTGTATCCCCACCTGTCAACGATCCTGTAATTTCATGGGCGCCAAGGTGCCTGCAACTGTTGGAACAGAACTAAACACGCACGTTCAGGCAGTTGCTTCGGGAGAGATTTTCAGCCATGGAAGGCGGTGCACTGGGTGGCTGACGAGCTTTTCTGGTCCAGAGGGGCAGTCCAGGCGGAGGCAGAATGTGCAGTTCTCTACCTGCCGAACTGCCAAAACGTCTCTTTCAAGAGACACGTGAATCCTAAGGACAACTCTCAGGGCCCAGGTAGTCAGCTTGGGAAACATCTGCAGAAGTTGAGGGGAAGGGGTATCTTCCTGTGGCCACAGATGACTGCTGTGCCCTCGGACTCCCCAGTAGCACGTGGTGCTCCCCTGGAGCGGTGGGTTTCTGTCGGCACAGCTACAGCCTCCCGCTCCTCCTGGCCCTCGTGGGTGCCAGTGGCATGGAAGCCCATGGGAGGACCTCCTTGTCCTCTCCGAGGGGGCGGGTGGACGTGGGATCCTCTCAGCGGAGGAGCAGCTTTGTCCCTCCCCAGCTGGCGCTGTGCAGTGGGCACGGCG